TCCTCAAGGCTCCATCCTAGGCCCCACTCTATTCCTTATCTACATAAATGACCTTCCTGACGCCATAAATTCCCAAGTTCGCATCTACGCGGATGACACCACAATTTATTCCTGCCTCAAAAAAAAATCTAGTGTCACTGACAAAACTAACCTGGCCGTGCGTCTCGAAAAGGACATCCAATCGGTTGTGAACTGGGGCATGAATTGACCGGTCAACTTTAATACTTCAAAAACAAAACTGCTCTCTATTAATCATCACAGAGATCCTTCCCTGCCCTCCATTAGAATGTCTGACGCTCAACTTCTCGAGAGCAACTCTCTGCGGCTGCTCGGTCTCACGTTGACGGCTGACCTGAGATGGAACCAATACATTGAGTCAATTGCTTCGACCACCGCAAGGAAAGTTGGCTCCCTGTGCCGCGCCAGGAAATTTTCTCCCCGGAATCGATCCTCCAGATCTAAAAATCAACCATTCGACCTTGCATGGAGTATTGCTGCCATATATGGTCTGGAGTCCCTTCTGTTTGCCTCGGGGTTCTTGATAGGCTCCAGAGGCGGATATGCAATATAACTGGCCCTGATCTGGGATCTCGTCTACAGTCACTCTCTCACAGACGCGCTGTCGCCCCTCTCTGTCTTTTTTACAAATACTTTCATGGCAATTGCTCCGAGGAGCTGCATTCGCTGGTTCCCAGACTTCATAAGTTCAAGCGCCCAACGAGGCTGGCATCCCACTATCACCCCTTCACTGTCGAAACTCCTAAATGTAGCCGTCTCTTCTACTCCAATAGCTTCATGTCTCGCACCTCTCGCCTGTGGAACTCGCTTCCCTATTCCAGTTTTCCTGAGAGCTATAATCTCCAACTATTCAAATGTAATGTCAATCGACATTTCCAGTTGCCATGAAATACTCCATGCAAGTGCGAATTGTTGATTTGTAGATCTGGAGGATCGACTCCGGCGAGAAAAATTTACTGGCGCGGCACAAAGAGCCAACTTTCCTTGCGGTGGACGAAGCTATTGACTCAATGTATTTGTTCCATCTCAGGTCAGCAGTCAATATGAGGCTGAGATGAGCGTCAGACATTCGATTTGAGTGCAGGGATGGTTCTCTGTGGTGAGGAGTAAATTGTAGTGTCGTCCGCGTAGATGCCTACTTGGGAATCTATGACGCCAGGAAGACCGTTGATGAAAATAAGGAACAGATAAGGGCCTAGGGTGGAGACTTGGGTAAAACCCGCGTTCGTAGGATAGGAGATGGAGGAGAATTTCTTACTATTTCACCCCAATTAAAGCAATATAGCCACTAAGACACAAGGGGTCGTTGAATTTTAAAGAATAAAAAAATAAAATCATTATTACAGAGCGAGAACAATAAAATGATAGGAATAAATAAGCCACTAGATAATGATTGTCATAGCACTCATTTTATTTTAAAGATCAACGTTAGGGCAAAAACAAGATGCCGGAAGAGAGTTTCACAGGTGTTAAGTGCGAGAAAAGAAACTATTAGCAAATAGTTTACGATTACATCTAACCATTTCAACCGTAAATATTGCTATGTTGCTAATATTTTACAACGCTTGAATGTATAGAGTATTTCTAATAGAGTAAAGTTAATCGGATTAATTACCATCAAAATATCTCTAGAAAGTTAATATACAGCAGTGGGAAGGTAACTGAAGTCAAGATGCCAGATCAGGACCAATAACAATGCAGATTCTTTCTTTCTATTTTATCAGTAATCTCTAAATATATAGCAGGAGCATGAGGCTATGTGTAGTAACAATATTTGAGGCATGAACAAATGGTAGACCTATCATTATGCAAGATAGATTCTGGCGAGGAAAACTCTGTGCCTTTATCCACTGTGCCATGTGTATGAATTTCTGCGTATTATAAAACTAATGTCTTCAGCACTCATTTTTTTTACCATTGCTCATATTGCAATTTTTGCTGTTATCAAATCATTTTTTACCAGAGCTCATATTACAATTTTTTAGGTATTATCACTTTTCTCTTTCACTTCTTATTAAACAATATTTCGAATAATGAAAATAGTGAACCAATTGCCTTGTTGCCGACCTAGCTTTTGATACAATATAATCTTTTTACTTCATGTCAGCAGAGACCGTTAGCCCGAGAAAATATAACGTCACTCTTCTGGAGGTTAGCATCAGCCATGGAAGGCAGAAAGGAATCTATCCAATGATTAATAGAAATAAGTCTATTTTGTATACTCATTTCCTTTCAGATCACAATCAGAGACCTAAGGTCAGAAATGGCATCATGACATTTTCTACTGAGCGTTTCTGCAAAAATAAAAAATAATAATAAAACAGCCATACAGCACACAGCGTTTACATAGATAAAGATCTTGATAAAAATGTAAGCTGTGCTAGTGAGAACATTTTTATGTAATTTCGTATTTCATATTTTAACACTTTGAGTCCTGTGTTCCTGAACAATTTTTACTCTTTCGCCTGATCTCCTGAGTCCAAATTCGCAAATAATTGGTATTTAACGTTTTACGGTAGATATAAAAATAGTTACAAGTGTTTATATACCGTTCAACTGGGGGTTGGGCATTAAGATATTTTTTTTTCTACCTGTTCATCTATGGGTTGGGTATTTCGTCATTTGCGGTGATCAGGGCTAAAATAAGGCATAGTTTACAAGTGATTCCTTTAATGAGTCTCTACCAATCAAACACAGGGCCCTAACCACAACTTAAAATTATTGATGAGTTCATGTGCTAGATCTTTGAGATTTGCACTTCAAGTTCATAGTATTTTGATAGTTTTTTGAATGGGTTACAGTCTGCAGGAACTTCCATGTTTATAAGAAAGGACATTCTGTTTTGTTTTTTTGTTTTTTTTTTTTTTTTTGTTGATTTTTTTTCTGTGGTTTTTAACCGCGATGTCTGGGCGACTGCTTTTCATTGTTCGCTCTGTTTCTATTTTAGAGTTCCATAAAATCGTTACAGGTCAAATGTCTGTGACCGGGTTATTATTATTATTATTATTATTATTATTATTATTATTATTATTATTAATGCATTTTGGTATTTCATTAGACGTTCGGTAAAATATACACTTCAGTCTGTTTGGTTGCAAAAGAAAACCGTCATTTGTAAATTGTCATTTGTTGATGTGATTCTTAATGACAAACATGATTGTTGTAACAAAAGAAAAACGCGCAGAGACAAAGATGGCGGCTTGGGACAATGATAATTATTAACATTGATAATTGTAAGTTGGAAGAAGGCGACAAAAAGCCTGGAATTTGACTGCTGAGTTGAGATGCAACATTTTCTCACTGTTTGTGAGGTGAGGATTTTACAATACATTTCATGTAGTGTTACTTTTAAAAAAATGTGTGGGCGTTCGAAACCTACAACAGAAAATATTGGATACACTTTTGTTAATTTTAAAAATTTCAGTAAATGCTAATATACTGCTTAGTTTTAGGATTATATTTTCACCAATACCACAACCCATATTTATCGTTCGTTGCTTGATTGGTTTCTTTGTTTAACGACATATCAACTACTTAGGGGTCACCGTCCTGGGTATAACGATAAACTACATCCACGTCCTGGGTAAGACGATAAACTACACCCGACAGCAAGGCCTCTTCTCATGAGGTTTTGTGAAGCGTGGAACCACGTCTTAATTTCTGGTGTTGCCAGGTCCGCCGTGACACGGCGTGGTAGCAGCGGTTAGGGTCCCAGTTATGGGAAAATAGTTAACCTCCAAAAGTTGTCAAACACCATGAAAATATTAAAATAGGTTTTATTACCAGGTATACTTTTTTTGGAAAAATTATTATCAGTAATATTTTTTTTTATAAAATGATTACCGGCAATACATTTTTGGAAAAAATATATTACCTGCAATACATTTTTGGAAAAAAAATATTACCAGCAATAAAAATCTTGTTGGCATTAAATAACCCATTGAGTTTGGTATGCCGTAAAACAAAACAAACCTAACAAAATCATATGGGTCATTTAATGCTGTAATTAAAATTTTCTTGGCAATTTCTTTTTCCAAAAATGTATTGCTGGTATTTTTTAAATATGAAAATATATTGCTGGTATCTTCACTATAAAATATATTTTTTTATAATTTCATAATGTTTTCAGTAAACAATTTGTTCATAGCCTGGACCCTAAGAGTTGCTACCAACCCGGAAAGTCCTGGGTACAGTAATTAAGATACGGTTTCACTCTTCTCAAAACCTTCCTATCAGTGCTACATCCGGGAGCAAGGGCTCTGATATGAAGATTAGAGTATTTGAGGAGCATGGAGCCACCCCTTGAATAATTTTTTTTCTCAGATACACCCTGACCTGGGGTGGTAACACGTGTTAGGGTTCCATCTATGACCAAATGGTGAACTCACAAACACAAAAATATGCAAGTATAGATATATACATTTTTATAGTAAAAATAATTACCAACAATAACTATTTATAGCAGAATTACCAAATATAACTTCGCTGATTAAATACTGTATTTTTCTTTAGAAACAATATTAAATTTCGGAATTAAATGACCCATTGATGTTGATACACCGCAAAATTAACCCAAGCAAACTCTATTCATATTAGAGGTCTTGTTGCCGAATTTAGTTTATTGTCAAACATAGGATTCGTTGGAAATAGATTTTTGATAATTTTATTTCTTGAAATTCTTGACTATCTTTTTAGTGACTTTTTCCGAATCAGTGTAAAATCAATCTGTCTTAAATGATACAAATTTATTGGAAAGGATTCAATCTGGAGAAGGATCTAAAATAAAATATTTTCTTTATTTCAACGGATTTCGTTTTCCGCTGGAATTTTATTTTATTTTATTATTTTGCGTGTCACTTCGTTTTCTGTCGACATTTCAGTATTTAATTTTGCACGCCTTTCAGATCAATTCTTATGTCGATTCTTAGGTTGATGCAGAAGAAAAAATATATGAGAGGAAAGAAACTAAAGGAAGTACGGAACTAAAGATTTGAAGAGGCTAAGACCGAATAGATGTAAATCGTGAAAGAAAGAAAGAAAGAAAGAAAGAAAGAAAGAAAGAAAGAAAGAAAGAAAGAAAGAAAGAAAGAAAAACTATTGGACGGGGAGAGAAAGAAAGAAATAATATCTGACAAAAGAAAGAAAGAAAGAAAGAAAGAAAGAAAGAAAAAAAAGAAAAGAGAAAGAAAGAAAACTATTGGAAAGAAAGAAGAAAGAAAGAAAAGAAAGAAATAATATCTGACAAAAGAAAGAAAAACTAAGAAAAGAAAGAAATAATATCTGAAAAAAGAAAGAAAGAAAGAAAGAAAGAAAGAAAGAAAGAAAGAAAGAAAAACTATTGGACGGGAAGAGAAAGAAAGAAATAATATCTGACAAAAGAAAGAAAGAAAGAAAGAAAGAAAGAAAGAAAGAAAGAAAGAAAGAAAGAAACATAAAAATAAGAAAAAATGAAATATAGAAAGAAAAAAAAGAAAGAATATAAAGAAATATTGGACGGGAAGAAAGAAAACGGAAAAAAGAAATGATATCTGACAAAATAAGAAAGGAAAGAAAAATAAATAAATTATATCTGAAAAGAAAGAAAGAAAGAAAGAAAGAAAGAAAGAAAGAAAGAAAGGAAGGAAGAAAGAAAGAAAGAAAGAAATAAAAACTATTGGACGGGGAGAGAAAGAAAGAAATAATGTCTGACAAAAGAAAGAAAGAAAGAAAGAAAGAAAGAAAAAGGAAAGAAAGAAAGTAAACATAAGAGAAATAAGTAGCAGAAAATGTTGAGATATAGAAAGAAAATTTAAAAGAAAGAATATAAAAGAAATATGGAACAGGAAATATAGAGAGGGAGAAAGAAAGAAAGAATATTGGACGGAAAAGAAAGAAAGAAATAATATCTGGCAAAATAAGGAAAGGATACTGGCCGGAGAAATAAATAAATTATATCTGACGACAAGAAAGAAAGAAAGAAAATATTGGACGGAAGAAAGAAAGAAAGAAAGAAAGAAAGAAAGAAAGAAAGAAAGGAAGGAAGAAATAAAGAAAGAAATAAAAACTATTGGACGGGGAGAGAAAGAAAGAAATAATGTCTGACAAAAGAAAGAAAGAAAGAAAGAAAGAAAGAAAGAAAGAAAAAAGGAAAGAAAGAAAGAAAACAAAAGAAAAAGAAATAAGTAAACATAAGAAAATGTTGAGAAAATGAAATAGAAAGAAAATTTAAAAGAAAGAATATAAAAGAAATATGGAACAGGAAATATAGAGGGGAAAGAAAAAAAGAAAGAATATTGGACGGAAAAGAAAGAAAGAAATAATATCTGGCAAAATAAGGAAAGGATACTGGCCGGAAAAATAAATAAATTATATCTGACGACAAGAAAGAAAGAGAAATAAAATATTGACGACAAGAAAGAAAAGAAAGAAAGAAAAGAAAAAGAAAGAAAGAAAGAAAGAAAGAAAGGAAGGAAGAAAGAAAGAAAGAAATAAAAACTATTGGACGGGGAGAGAAAGAAAGAAATAATGTCTGACAAAAGAAAGAAAGAAAGAAAGAAAGAAAGAAAGAAATAAAGAAAGAAAGAATGAAAGAAAGAAAAAGGAAAGAAAGAAAGTAAACATAAGAGAAATAAGTAGCAGAAAATGTTGAAATATAGAAAGAAAATTTAAAAGAAAGAATATAAAAGAAATATGGAACAGGAAATGTAGAGAGGGAGAAAGAAAAAGGAAGCAATTTAAGCTATATTAAGAACAGAAAAGAAAGAAAGAAAGAAAGAAAGAAAGAAAGAAAGAAAGAAAGAATATTGGACGGAAAAGAAAGAAAGAAATAATATCTGGCAAAATAAGGAAAGGATACTGGCCGGAGAAATAAATAAATTATATCTGACGACAAGATAGAAAGAAAGAAAATATTGGACGGAGAAAGAAAGAAAGAAAGAATGAAAGAAAGAAAGAAAGAAAGAAAGAATGAAAGAAAAAAAGAAAGAAAGAAAGAAAGAAAGACTCATGCTTTTTAGTCAAAATTAATCTTCAAAAATTTAAAGAAATATTAAACGATATCTGGCGTTCTCCTTATTCTTTCTTTTTATGTTCCATATCTTTTCAAAACGTAGGCGATCATGACTCTCCACCTCTTCCTATCCTTTGCAGCTCTCAACAAGTTCCTTTCCTCTGATATCTTCCCCAGACCACGATCTGTCATCCATTTGCTTTAGCCCGTGAGGTATGTCACTCGTTATTTTTTCCTTTGTCTCTCTTTCCCTCTATTCGACGTGATTTTTTTTATAGCAATGTTCATCGAATACAAGTTCTTTCTGTCTGTAATGTTGTAGTTAATGATATTAAATATAAGCCTCCTCCTTGCTTGCAACCTCTGTAAGACCTCATCATTGCTCACATGCTCGGTCCATGATATCCTAAGTATCTTTCTGTAGAACCATATCTCCGTCGCCTCGACTCTCTTCTTCATCTTTGAGGAAATCGTCCAACATTCGCTGCCCTAAAGAAGGGCAGATGTCATGTAACAGCTCAGTATTCTTTTCTTTGTTACCGAAGAGATATTCGTTTCTTGTAAGACTCTGGCCAGCTTTTGGAACGTGTTCTTGAACGTCCCAATACGTCTACGGATTTCAGTGCCTTCACCATCTTCTGTCAAGAGGCTTCTCAGATATTTAAACTTCCGCGTCAGCATTACTCTCCTTTGTTCCCGCCTCTTTTCTAAGTCTTTCATATCCAGTTACTTTACTGCCTTGCTTGAGTTGAACTTGCTTAAAAAGAAAAAAAAAGAAGATTCTTCTCGAAGAATAAAATAGAGGATAGTTTCCTTTAATTTTACTCTAATCTTCACCCTGGACAAAGCTCAAGAATATTACAGAGTAAGTTTATGGGGATATGTGGGGAAGATAACTTTTGACTTTAGAATTGATTAGGTTAAAATTTTAGTGATGCATACTCCTGGGAGTTAGTTCATCCAACAGCAGTTTGTGGGGAAAAGTGCTTGAGTGGAACTTATATCGCATCAATAGAATACAAAGAGAATGTATAGCGACAATGGGCGTAGCATGGCAGGATTTGCTGCAGAGGTTATTACTGATAACATGATGGAATATAGTACGCCTGAGGACTTTTTCATCGTAATAGAAATAAATCAGCGAGAGGGTTGCAACATTTTATCTCAGGGAAAGAGCCTGTAGGGTGAAAGTAATTCATCACCAATTAGGACCTTAAATTCTTAGATTCTATAGCAAATGGAAAGCGAAGACATTTCCTGCCCATATATGGTAGCATTACTCCATTCTCAGTCGGATCTGCCTCTTGAAAAAGTAGATAATTCCAGGATGATTCAGGTACTTACTGAAGGGGTACAGGAAAACGACCATTCTTCTAGTATACTTGGCGCTGGATCGTCGGTACGGCTTCCTCATCAAGTATGAGGTGATCTAAAATACCAATATGCGCTCAAAGGACCGGGCATTTACGAGGGAACATACGTTAATCGTGATAGTTGAAGCCATAAATTTGTGCTGAAATACTTAGATTTGGGTATTAAATTTCGGTTGATATTCCGCTAAACAAAATCAACCAGGCAACTAACAAGAAAGAACTCTTTCATGGTATTAAGCCATATAATATCTGAGAATTTCTTGAAGAAATCAAACTGTATTTCAAAATGTAAAAACATGCAATGATAGCAGCAAAAATTGCAATATGAGCACTGGTAAAAAATGGTTGCTGAAAACATTAGGTTTATAATACCCAGAAAACATTAGGTTTATAATACCCAGAAATTCATCCTCAAGGACACATGGGACAATGGATAAAGGCATGGTTAGATCAAGTGAAAGACCCAAAGAGTGTGAGTTCAAAACCCGGTTAAGGTAGTGGAGAACTTTCAGAGGGAAATTAACAGGAGATAACTGATAACTGACATCCATCAAACATGGCACGCGGAACTAGAACAGTCTACCCCAGTGATCGAAATAAAGGGTACAGTTCGAAATTCCAACCACCTGAAGAAGGCTGGAGCGTACAACGGCCGAAACGTTGTGACAAATATGGCGACAAAGATGAGGTCAATAGTCCGACTAATGTAAATACTGTTCCAAATGTAACTTCAGCAAAACTAGAACATAAAACAAACATATCACCGCAACACACACATATGTATGTGTATAAAAGCAGAGTTTCATCTACCATTTATTAATTTGTGCAAGTAGAATAACATATATATATATATATATATATATATATATATATATACGACTTCAAAGAAAATTAAATTTTAGCAGTAAATAACCCATGAAGGTGTTGATATACCGTTAAAGTATCGATAATCGATAACGATAATCGCATTTGCATTAATCGCTGAAAACTAGTCCATGTTTATGCTGTGTTATTGTTCAGCTTGTCTGCTCTGTATGGACATTTTGATTTATAAATTCAGCAATGCGTTTCGTCTGGATTTTCGTTTACGTTTTTCTTTTCTCTTAATATTTGCTTTTTCTTTGTCGTTTATTCTTTTATCGATCTTTGTTTTTTGGTCCTCATTTTTTGAAATTGTTTTCATTGGGCAGTCATTGAGTTGGTGATGCAAGCGCAGGTTTTACCAATACTTTAGTTGGTTATATAGATAAAAGTGGACATCGAAATCAACACCAGGCGGTGATAGTTTGTGTCACGCTTAAACACAATCACTGACATGACGACTACGTTTACTCATGAAACAGATTGTTGCCGCTGGGTGTTAAAATGAATAACAACTTTTATATTTACATACGATCTATCCCGCGCGCGCACACACACACACACACACACACAAACACACACACAAACAGAGAGAAACATACACACAAACAAATATATATATATATATATATATATATATATATATATATATATATATATATGTACACACGTACACACACCATAGTCACTCACTCCCTAATGAGCCAAATGATAACACACACCTACAGCAATACACACACGCTTACACATATCATACTCACTCACCCCTAAGAACCAAATAACACACACACAAACACTAAACAGAGACACATCCCTCACCAGGTCCAATAAAACTGTCAAACTGACCAGAGAATTCAGGATAAAATGTATCTATCCAGTTCTTATCTCAAATAACAACTTAAAAGAGACTGTTTGACCAACACAAGGAATGTTAAAAGATTCATGTGAAAAGATAAAAAATAAAAAACAAATGAAAACTACAGACAAAAAGTTCATTTTCTCCAACAAAAGACATTCATTTCTGTAGTTCAGTGCCAACAGCAAGCAGAAATATTTCTCCTCCCGATGATGGCCATTTCGGTCGAAACTAGTCGAGGAATCTAAATGGAATAATAATAATAATAAAAAAACGAAAGAATATTAATTTACAAACCAGTGTGTCTAATGATTTTAATTTTTTATTTTCTTATTGTTCAATATATCTATCTATCTATCTATATATATATATATATATATAAAGACAAGAAGAAAATCTCTACTTCGTCTTAAAAATGTTTATGTTGTTGCACGGGTTTATATACAAGTGTAAGTATGTTATTAGATTTAAATTTGAGAAAATTCATGAATATCCATATATATATATAGAGAGATAGAAATACAGAGGGATGGCTGGGATTGAAGTATCGCAGATGAGAGTTCGAATTCCAGTCGGAATGGCGTGCTATTACCCTTGGAAAAGTGGAAAAGGCATGAATCATCATCTTCTCACCTCAGCTGCTGGTAAAGTATGAATTCAAAACCGGCCTCGAGAGATTTGGGTCCCGTCAGGTTACCTTGCCCAATAAATGCCAATTCTACTGCGGCTTCACTACTTACGACCCTGATGGGTCACGGGATTCTTAATCGAAAGGTATACTGACTTATTTTTTTTATAAAACACCAGTAAATGTTGGAACACTCAGCTGGCTTTGGTCTGGAAACACAATCTGATACAGCCGTGCAGCCAGGCTGCCACTAATTTTCGTGCGGCCGTATATAAAAATCTCATCTGCCTGCTCACTATATGAATACACTGCCATTGTTAAATGGAACACTTTTGAGTTAACTCACTACTATAGATGTTAAACGTTGAAGGCAGACTAGCCACAAATGTACAAGAATAACAAATATAACCTAGTCTACATGGCAATTCAACATCATTAACCGTAAACGTTTGCGGAAATATGTTTATATGGACTTTTGTTCTTGTTTTGTTGAGAGGATACACCCTATATGTGTGTGTGTGTGTTGTTTGTTTGTGCCTCTGTAGGTGTATGTATATGTGTGTGTATAAAATTATTTTTCAATATCAGTTTTTTCTCAATTGTCAGTTACAGTCGGCCAATATCCTCAGAGACGGAGAGAAGACAGGTGATGCCATTACACAGTTGCTTTCTGAGTATACCATTGGCCGAACACGTGGGCATCAAGAAAGCTTAAAGGAAATGCAAAAAATAAAAGGATTCTTAGACTCAGAAAGAACCAGGTCAGAACCAATAACACTGCATATTTTTCTTAGGATTTTATGAAGAAAGTCTAAATATATATCAAAAGGACTCAGAAATGCCCTTCATAAATAATCAGCCTTGTGCCACATCCTGCCTTGACAAGAGATTAGT